GCAACAGCTGATGTCTAATGGCTAAACGGGTCGAAGTTGGTTAGACGGTTCTGGTGTTGTACCTTTTGAAACAAATTGACATGCTTTTAGAAATGAGTTCATTATTTTAGTGTTTGTGACCATAAAATGGAAATTTAATATCTAGTAGAGATGCAAGCTGAAAACATATTTGATGAACACAAATATATAGGAAAAAGGAAACAGAGTAATACCCACCAGTACAGCTAACAACTCTTTACAAGAATTCCTCACTCACCGTTGCGTTCGAGCATCATGTATACGTTTTTTCGCCTTTTAGGTCTCATCTCTCAACACACATCGAATATATTCGCTTAGGCATACTTTCTGCCTAGCTTAACCATTCAAATTTTCTAAAAAAAACACGACCCGTGATCTCATTCTATGGCTTTCATCTGCACACACGATATAAATATTCCAAAAGAGTATACATTAGGAGTTTTCGTTTTTGCTCATGGAAGGCGACTTGTTTAACCGATTTTTGTCTCATGCAACTTCAATGTTTGAAGGCTTTGCATTGCTATCCTCAACCAATTTGGATTTCGACTTGGCTGTGACGGCTCTTGAAGACCTTGAGAAGGAGCCCGAATTAGACTTTGGAGAGGAAGTCGATTTGGTTTTCTTTCGCTTTTGCTTCTTCTTGATTGGAGTTTGTTCGGATGGGGTGGTCTTTAACGCCTCGGTTCCTGATTGTTGCCTCATGGACTCTGCAAAATCCCATTTAGCGGTAAAACAAAGAAAAACAAATGCAAAATCGAAAATCAAACCGAAAAAATGGTGAGATGAGAAGAAAAACAAATGCGAAATCGGAAATCAAACCGAAGAAATGGTGAGATGAGATTCATCGGTTCCCAATGCTACTTAAGCTACAAACCTCCCAATATTAGGGCTATGTTTGGTAAACATAGAAGACAAGCTATCTCTTAATAAGTGAATTTAGAACTTACAACTGATAGCCTATGACTTAAGGTTTAAAAGCTAACTTGTATGATAGAAGTGTGTGGTAAAATTAATCGATAAACTAGCTAACTGAAAAAACAAAAGTAAAAATAAATAAATTCAACGAACTTATTTGAAAAATCGCCTAAGAAAACAATATAAGCTCCAACTTATTAAAAAAACTCGTTGTACCAAACAAAACTTATTTTTGTGACATTTTACCAGTTACTAGACATACGTCTTTTC